GCTCTTTCCACAGTTTGGCTATTGTGGACATTGCTGCTATAAACATCGGGGTGCACGTACCCCTTCAGATCCCTATATTTGTATCTTTGGGGTAAATACCTAGTAGTCCTAGGCCCCAAGTTTAAAGGGGAAAAAAAACCTCCTTAGACAAAGTACAAGCGTGGATAAGTTAATCAACTCAGAATTGGCTCAGGGAAGCCATAAAGGGATTTCAGAAAGCCAGACATAATTCTAAATGAATGATCCAAATAACTGTTTCTGGAACTAAGTAAAAGTGGCAAGATTTGTGAGCAGGGATTGTCTGGTAAGACTACCTGGAAGAGGTGGGTCAGAATGGGGCCTGGAAGATGGGGAGGATGAAGCAGAAGAGAGGGACCCTCCCCTGAGAAGAGGGACCCGAGTGGGTGGGGAGTCAGGAGGCTTGAGTGGCATCTTTGCCGTGAGAATTGTTTACAAAACACTCACACCTGGTTCTCCTCTTTATCTTGACCTTCACAAGTAACTGCTGGGAGGATCATTTCACCCTGGTCTACAGATACCTGAAGCTCCGAGTCAGGCAGTGACTTGTCCAAGGTCACCCAGTTATAAAATGGCAGAACATAGGCTTGAGCTAAGACTGCTGCCTTTTTTTTTTTTTTAAGATTTATTTATTTTGAGAGAGAGAGAGAGAGAGCACGTGCACACACAAACACGGGGGGGCAGAGGGAGACGGAGAGAGAAACTTCTCAAGCAGACTCCCCGCTGATTCCTAGGCGGGGCTCGATTCCACCACCCTCAGATCATGACCTGAGTGGAAATCAAGAATCGGACACTTAACCGACTGAGACACCAAGGCCCTCCCAGCTGCTGCTTTTTAAAATTAAAATCCTGGCCTGAACAGGGCTTGGAAGTTCCAGCCCTAGCTCTGCTACCGACCATCTATCTGTGAGACAAGGGGAAGCTGCTTCTCTGAGCCTGTTTCCTTACCTGCACAATGTGGCTGGCAATCCTTATTCGCCTCTCACAGGGTCGTGGTGAAATTTGAAATCCTGTGAGTAACCTGAACTGCAGAACAGTGGGTACATGAGAAGGTGCTGCTACTTTGGCATTCTGCACGTTTGCTGGGACTCAGGTTAGCTTCCTAAGGAGTGTGTGGGGTGGGGCTCCCATGGGATGGTGGGATGTGCAGATAATCATCCTTCTATATCTCTCCTTCCTCCACTGCCCCTGGAAGGAAGCTGTGACCCTCCGTGGGGCCCGGGAGGCTGCTCCTCAAGACTAAAGAAAGAGATGAGGTGTGAGGAGTCTTTCACCAAATACCACAGAAAGCATCTGCCTCGATGCTCTTTGTTTGCATATGGCGAAAGGGGGCACGTAAAGGCAAAGGAAGGTAACTTGTCCAATCTGTCGTTAATAACAAAGCCACTGAATACAAGTGTGCAAACGTTACAAGGGCGCTGCACTAGATGGCAGGAGTCTCAGGGTCAAGATCTAGATCTTATACCAACTGTGGGTGGCTCCGGACAAAATCCCTTTCCTTCTCTGGCACTTAGTTTCCTGGTCACAGAACTGGGATTAGTCTCGAAGGGTCCTTCCAGCTCGGAGACCGTCATCGGAGATGCAGCACCCTAGGCCGGGGCGCAGAAAATGTGAAAGGGTTTGTATTCCCCTGAACTTCGCCGGAAACCTCCGCGCCCAAGGATGCTTCCGTTGCCACGGCAACCGCCCGGCCGGCTTGGTCCCCGGCGTTCCGCAGAGGAAGCTGGGACGAACCCTGCCCTTACCAAGATGGCGGCGGCCACAGGGCAGGGGGCGGGGTTGAACGTTGTCAGCCTGTCCAGACCTTTCCTCTGTTTCCGCTTTTTCGTGCTAACGGCGAGCTTCCGTCAATACTCGTTCCCTTTTCTGGTTCTGGGAGCACCGGGAGCCAGGGAGGAAGCGTTGTCTGCAAGGATTGGGGCAAACACTCTGGTGCTGGGGAAGGCGGGACTTCCGCGTCTCACAGGAAGTGACGCGACAATCGCGGCCGCAGACAGGTGAAACCGCAGGTGGGTTCAGGTGCCAGGCTGGCCTGGACCCGGCTGTGGGACCGACGCTTCCGGTGAGCGACAGAGGTAGCTCCCAAGGGCCTGGAGACCCGTGGGGGCGGGCTCTGGGGTCTGAGCCCACCGTGCTGGCCTGGAATTACCCGTGTACCTAGTAGGAATCCCGTACCTTCCCGCCCCCTTACCTCGGGGACTCTCCCCGCCGTCCAGAGGAAAGGGGGATGATCCGGCTCTCCCGGATCGCCGGGGTGGAGGTTGACATATAGGCACGTCGGGTCCCCAAACCCTACGCTCTTTTCTGTCCCTGATCCAGTTCCCCATTCCCCTGCCGAGCTGGACAGTTAGCCAGCCCGCCTCAACTCTCGGAACCATGTTTGCGGACTTGGATTATGACATCGAGGAGGATAAACTGTGAGTATTTTGTTCCCTGCAAGTCCCGGGAATGCACGAGCTCCAGGGCCTCCAGATCCCCAGACTTCCCAGTTCTACAGACCCTTGCTTCTCAGCGGGGGATTAGGTCTTGTACTGTAGCAGGAATGGATCCTGCCCTTCCAGGAGCTCACCTTCTGTAGCTGCGCTGTGGACACATTAGCAGATAATAGGTCAGGGCCACATGGGCACTAATGGAGAATGGCCTGGCTACAAGGAGAGAGCAGATGGAGCACTGCCTCGACTAGGGTGTTCAAGGAAGCCTTCATAAAGGAGCTGGCAATTGAGCAAGTTTTCAAGGTGAATAGGAATATTGTAAACCTGCCTTCCTTCCCAGTATAGACAATTGGTGAGACAGATTTTCAAAAATTGTAGTCTCCTTCCTAAAATCTGTCCTCCATCTGTCCACTGCCGGTGTCCTCAGCACTTAGTATGGGGCTCGCCGTCAGTAGCTTGTTAGCAAATGTTTGTTGAATGAATAAGTGAATAAAGGCAAATATCTACTACAGAATATAAATAAGTGCTGGTTTATAGTGAAAACTGAGAGGTAATTGAGCAGAGCAATTGAGAGATGGGTGATGGAGAGTTGAACAGGAGAAGGCTTCCTGGAGAAGGTGGCTGTGATGTTCCATGTGTGCCCGAGAAGGTGACAAGGACAGAGTCTGACTCAGGTCTCAGAGATAGGATGAAGGAGAGGGAAGGGGGACCTGTTTTCATGGAATGCCTGCTCTGGGCTGGGTTGGTGTTAAGTGCCTTCCATGTGCTTTCTTACAAGAATTTTCATCAAGTAGCAAGCCATTTCTACCACCACTTTATGGATGAGGGAACTGAGATGCACAGAGGGGACTGACTTACCCAAGTGCTGTAGATGGTAAATAGCAGAGCTGGGATCTGATCCCATGTCTGCAGGACTCCCAAGAGCTGCGCATGTTCCAGTGCAAGATGCTGTCTCTTTTGGCCAAATGAGAAAAGAAAAAGCTGAGCTGCACTTGGAGCCTTTCAGGGGTTTTGGAGGGCCTGTTCCCTTTGCTGTCCCCTCCAGTCATCCTTCTTCCAGGAGATTCAGCCTCGTGTGCTTCTCTTTCTAGCGGAATCCCTACTGTGCCCGGGAAGGTGACCCTGCAGAAGGATGCTCAGAACCTGATCGGGATCAGCATCGGAGGAGGGGCCCAGTACTGCCCCTGCCTCTATATCGTCCAGGTATTGGGTGCTTTGGAGGTGGGGGTGAGGTCTTGGAAAAGGTGAGCCATCTCCCTGCTTGGGCAGGTTCATTCTCCTCTCTGCAGAGCTGATGCCTTTTCTTCTTGAGGTCTGACCCCCTCAGAGAGGCCTTCCCGAGTGCCCTTCTCCGGAGGTACACCCTTGTTCTCTGTCATGTCAGTGTGTTCCTTCCCTTCTCAGCCCCCCTCACCCTCTGTAATCATGGGTTTGCCCATTCGTGATTCTATATCTAGCTGCTTCCCAGTCTCTGCAGTGTGAGGACAGGATCTCAGTCTGCTTTTTCACTGCGGTCAGCACTGAGTACAATGCTTGGCATAGGGTCGAATCCACAGAACTCTCAGCCGGGGGTACTGGGGCAAGTGAAGTGTTGTGGAAAGTCTCCAAGTCTATGAAGTGATAATGGCCTGAGTTCAAATGTAAGCCTCCCTGCTCAGTGGCGAGTTACCTAAACTCTTTGGGTCTCAGCTTCCTCCCCTGCAAAGTGAGGGTGTAAAATGTTTGGTCACCGTGAGGATTTAACAGAATGCCCCCAAGCAATGCCTGGCATTTAATAAACATGAAATAGAAGATGTTGTTATTTTTCTGACAGTTGTTCACTTCCCCAGATGGTACTGAACAATTCTGTGGTTCTTGTAGAAGCTGCCCTGGTGACTTCCAGTCAGCTGTGACTCTGAGCCGTGGGGACAGTTTTCTTTACCTTGCGGCTGGTCGGAATCACTGATTTTTGTGTAGGCTCGGAAGGAAGCTCGCCACCTCAGACATAAACATGACCCGACTTCTACCCTGTTCCAACTTGCTCAGCTCAGTAGCTGTTGGTGGCAGATGGGAAGCTGTTGTCTTTCAGGTTCTTGCAAAAGAGTCACTTCTGGGCCTTGAAGACAGAGATTCCCGGGATGTGGCCTGGCCTGCTCCGGGTGCCACCTTCATGAGCAGTTTGGCCTCCTCTGGCCCAGGAGGTGGTGGTAGGAAGGCCTCGCCCAGGCCTGCCCCCCCTTGCTTTGTGCCGGTGTGGCCCTGCCACCTCCCCTTCCTCACCCACGGGGGACCAGATTTGCTTAGAACAAACTGCGATTACAAAATAATAGAATTCAGTCAAATAATAGCACCCACTGTTGCACCCCTTCTTTTTTTTTTTTTTAAAGATTTATTTATTTATTATAGAGAGAGAGAGGGAAAGCCGGGGGAGGGGCAGAGGGAGAGCGAGAGAGAATCTTAAGCAGACTCCCCACTGAGTGCAGAGCCTGACGTGGGGCTTGATCTTATGACCCTGAGATCATGACCTGAGCTGAAACCAGGAGTCGGACGCTTAGCCGACTGAGCCGCCCAGGCGCCCCTCTTCTACCCCTTCTTAACACCTTCCCTCACTCCCCCTCCCCCAACCCCATCCCAGCAGCAACGCTACTTTCTACCCTTACAGCTGTTTCTTCAGGTGTGAGCCTCCATTTTTCCTCGCTTAGATACTTACCCTGTTATTTCTTGATCTGTCACTTGTAAATATCTGTCAACTTTTCCCAGTCCGGTAGATGGGAATGTTCACTGTCTTCCAGAGCCACTCTGCTTTCTCTCACCCCATCCTCCCAGCGTGGTGGTTGTGCAGTTTGGGCTAATCTGCTGTCCGAGAGTCAGCGCCACAGGCCAGGCTGTGCCACGGGCACTAGGAATAAGGAAGCAAGGGGAACAAGGAGCCCGTCCTCCCGAGCTGCTGGTGTAGGAGGACGGTAACACGCTGGTCCGCATCCTGAGCCTCACGACCGTCCGGGGTCGTGCTTTTTTATTTATTTATTTATTTATTTTTAAAGATTTTATTTATTCATGAGAGACAGAGAGAGAGAGAGAGAGGCAGAGGGAGAAGCAGGCTCCCAAGGAGCAGGGAGCCCGATGCGGGACTCGATCCCAGGACCCCGGGATCATGACCTGAGCCGAAGGCAGTCGCTTGACCATCTGAGCCACCCAGGCGCCCAGGGGGTCGTGCTTTTTTAAAGAATTACTTTATTGTGGTGAAATTCACTTAACGTACAATTAGCAGTTTTCAAGTTCAGTGGCATTTGGTGCATTTGCTAAATTCAACTGTCACCTCTCTCTCTAATTTCAGAACGTTTTCATCCCCCCAGAAAGAACAGCCCGTGCCCTTTAAGTATTCACTCGTCACCCCCCTCCCCTCCCCTGGCCGCCACTCCTCTGACTCTGGGACTCGTGTCCGTGCTGGTTATGCCAGATCGGTTGGTGATCTGGTTATTAGATAGATTGTTTTTTGGATATTTTAATATAAAAAGAATCTAACATGTCACCTTTGGTGTCTGGCTTCTTTCTTTCTTTTTTTTTCTTTTTAAAGATTTTATTTATTTATGAGAGAGAGAGAGAAGGAGAGACAGCACGAGAGGGAAGAGGGTCAGAGGGAGAAGCAGACTCCCCGTCGAGCAGGGAGCCCGATGTGGGACTCGATCCCGGGACTCCAGGATCATGACCCGAGCCGAAGGCACTCGCTTAACCGACTGAGCCACCCAGGCACCCACGTCTGGCTTCTTTCACTTAGCATAATGTTTCTGAATTTCATTCAAATGGTGGCATATTTCAGTAATTCATTCTTTTTATGGCTGATGAATATTCCATTTGTGTTCATCCATTCATTTGATGGACATTCAGGTTGTTTGCACCTTTTGGCTGCTATGACCAATGCCGCTGTGAGCACGCACATGAGCTTCCGGGGCTGACACGTGTGTTCGTGTTCAGGGAGCGTGTACCTGGGAGCGGGAGCAGGATGGCTGGCTCACGCGGTGCTTCTGTGGTTTACTTTTTGAGGAACCTCTGTCTCTTTTCTTAATCTTTTCTTTTTTAACGTCGTTTCTTGGGGTTCTTCCATTTGCGTTCTCCTTGTACATTCAGTACCTTTCCTCAGGCAGCCATTTGCCACCATCTTTCTGTTGCCCCCCACGCTGTGGTCTGTCCTCACTCAGCCTCCCCTTCCCTCTCTGTGGGACTCCACTGCCGGGAGCCCTCTTTCTTTCGTTTTTTTTCTTTACGTTTTTATTTTGATTCCAGTTAGTTAACATCCAGTGTAATATTAGTGTCAGGAATACAACACAGTGATTCAGCACCTCCACACATCACCTGGTGCTCCTCACAAGTGCCTGCCTTAATCCCCAGCACCTGGTTCCCCCATCCCCCACCCACCTCCCCTCCGGTGGCCAGCAGTTTGTCCTCTGTATTTTGTTTGTTTGTTTTTTAAGATTCATTTATTTATTTGAGAGAGAGAGCGCGTGTGCAGGGGGCAGTGACAGGGAGAAGGAGAGACAGAATTTCAAGCAGACTCCCTGCTGAGGGCAGAGCCCGACACAGGGCTCCATCTCACAACCCTGAGATCATGACCTGAGCCGAAATCAAGAGTTAGACGCGTAACCGACTGAGCCACCCAGGTGCCCCTGTTATCTATAGTTAAAAGTCTGTTTCTTGCTTTGTCGCTCTTTTTTTCCTTTTGCTCATTCGTTTTGTTTCTTAAATTCCATGTATGAGTGAAATCATGTGGTCTTTGTCTTTGCGTGACAGACTTATTTTGCTCACATTATACTCTTTAGATCCATCCATGTCTTTGCAAACGGCAAGATTTCATTCTTTTTTATGGTTGACTAATATTCCATTAAATATATATACATCACATCTTCATTCATCAACCGATGGACACTTGAGCTGCTTCCATATTTTTGCTATTGCAAATAACAGTGCTATAAACATAGAGATGCACGTATCCCTTTGATTTAGCATTTTTGTATTCTTTGTGTTCTGAATACCCAGTAGTGCGGTCGCTGGATTGTAGGGTAGTTCTATATTTAACTTTTTGAGGGACCTCCATACTGTTTTCTAGAATGGCTGCACCAATTAGCATTCCCACCAACAGTGCAAAAATGTTCCTTTTTCTCCGAATCCTCATCAACACTTGCTGTTTCTTGTGTTGTTGATTTTAGCCATCCTGACAGGTATGAGGTGATATTTCAGGGTAGTTTTGATTTGCGTTTCCCTGACGCTGAGTGATGTTGAGCACCTTTTCATGTATCTGTTGGCCCTCTGGATGTCTTCTTTGGAGAAATGTCTATTCGTGTCTTCTGCCCATTTTTTAATTGGATTATTTGGTTTTTGAGTGTTGAGTTTGATAAGTTCTTTATAGATCTTTGATACTAGCCCTTTATCGGCTATGTCATTTACAAGTACCTTCATCCATTCCGTAGGTTGCCTTTCGGTTTTGTTGACTGTTTCCTTCACTGTGCAGGCCGGGAGCTCTCTTTCTTGGCTGACTTCCCCATCGAGGTGGAGCACATCCTCTTGTAGCTTTCTGAGAGAGGCTGCATGGGAGGTACATTTTTTGAGAGCTTGTGTCTCTGAAAGTGCCATTATCCTGTCTTTGTTGTTATTCTCATAGTCCTTCCAGTTGGCACTTGGGCAGATCAAATTCAAGAATGTCAACAACAAAAAAAAGAATGCCGAGTTTGAAAATAATTTTCACCTAGAAATTCGTTGGCGTCCTTTCATTATCTTTTGCCATCACATTGTTGTGTCTGATGGTGCTCTTCTGATTTGTGACCCTTTATCTGTGATGTGTTTTATCCTTGGTCTCTCAAGACTCTTGGGAATTTCCTTGTGTCCCTGGCATTCTGAAGGGTCATGATGATGGCTCTTCGCTCAGGTCTTTGTTGTGTTGGAGCCTCAGAGGGCACATCCCTCGGGGAACCTCATGTCTTTCTCCACCCTGGAAGTTTCTAGTATTAGCTCTTTGATGGGATCTTGCTCTCTGGTTTCTGTTCCCTCTTGTGGGACTCCTGTTGGCTAGTGCTGGGCTTCCCGAAATGATCTTCTAATATTTTTCTTTCTCTTTTTTTCCGATTGTCCATGTCTTTTTTGGTTTCCTTGGCTTGGTTGCATAGCTTCTTTGGACATTGTAAACTTCTGTTATAATTTGCATTTCTGAGATCTCATATTTTTTTTTTTTGAAGATTTGATTTGTTTATTTGAGAGAGAGTGAGCACGAGTGAGCACAAGTGGGAGGAGGGACAGAGGGAGAGAGAGAAGCAGACTCCCTGCGGAGCAAGGAGCCCAACACGGAGCTTGATCCCAGGACCCCGGGATCATGACCCGAGCCAAAGTCAGATACTTAATGGACTGAGCCACCCAGGCGCCCCTGCCCTATTTTTGAATCGATCCTTTTACATCATCCTGTTCTTTTTCTAATCGTCTTGAAGATGTTAATTATGGTTTTCTTTTTGTTTTTGTACCGGCTCTACTTTGTTTCTGCTTCCTGTGGTTCCTTTTTTCTGTTTTTAAGTGTTTTTCCTATGGGACACTTTTCTCAAGTGCCCGGTAATTTTCGCCTGTGTTTACATGCTGAGTGAGCCATCATAGTCATGTGCTAATGGTGTTTGAGGATCTGTGTGCAGACCATGTCTGGGGGGCTTCCCTGGGGGGTGGTCAGGCATCAGGCGAGCTGGGTGGGTGGGGGGATCTGCCAGTGTCTGTACATAGACGGGCCTTTCGTGTGGAGCCATCCAGGGCAATGGCTTCCAGTTTCCGTGGGGAAGGGCCGTAAGCCTGGCTGCTGGTATTCTGGGCCCCCACTGGGGCTACGGGGCTTTAGGGCTCGCTGAACCCAAATCCCTCCAGTCCCGTGCCTCTCTCCTGCCTCCCTCGGTCCCTGGGCCTGAGTCAGGAGCTTCTCTGGGGAAAACCACCTCCATCTTCCACCTTCCATGGACCGCTGTGTGGATGGCGACAGAACCAGGAGTTGAGTCCTTTCCCTACTTTCTACACCTTGTCTTCCACCCACCTGTGGCTCTTGCCAGAGATCTGCTTCCTGATCCACTGACAATTTCCAGCGAAGATTAGATCTCTCTTCCTAAAGCCCCTCCATAGGCCCTTGGGTTCCCGTTGTCCATCTTCCAAGGACAGGTAGACCCTCTCATTGTCTTCTTTACCATTTAAAAAAAATATATTGGGGCGCCTGGGTGGCTCAGTCAGTTGAGCATCCAACTCTTGATTTCGGCTCAGGTTGTGATCTCAGGGTCCTGGGATGGAGCCCCGCATCAGGGCTGAGCATGGGGTCAGCTTGAGATTCTCTCCCTCTCCCTCTGCCCCTCCCCCTGCTCACGCTCTCTCTCTCTCTGAAATAAATAAGTCTTTAAAAAATAATAATTGTATTTTTAGTGTGATTCTGGAAGTTAGTGGAAACTCTCAGGTTTTTCCTTTCTTCCTTATAATGTTACATATGTGAAACATCAAGTGTTCTTTCTACATGCTTTGTGTAGAAAATTTAGCAACTGAAGACAAAGTAGGGGCGCCTGGGTGGCTCAGTCGTTATGCGTCTGCCTTCTGCTCAGGTCATGATCCCAGGGTCCTGGGATCGAGCCCCACATCGGGCTCCCTGCTCGGCGGGAAGCCTGCTTCTCCCTCTCCCACTCCCCCTGCTTGTGTTCCCTCTCTCGCTGTGTCTCTGTCAAATAAATAAATTTAAAAAAAAAGACAAAGTAGAGAAAGACAGTAGCAGATGACCACTGCTAATAAGTCGGTGTCTGTCTCAGTGGCTGTTGGCTGGCTGCGATGTTTTGTGTTCTTGTCCATCCCTGCACACGCGTTTGCAGTCTCCCCCCACTGCCCTGAGCAGCACTCACGCATCTGTGCTTGGACAGGCCCACCCAGCCTCACGCCACAATAAGTGTAGACCCTGTTGAAGGGGCCACCCTGGGAGGGGGACTCACATGCGCGGTGGAGTCCTTGCTCTTTGGGGACTGAGATAAGGCGCAGGAACTGACCAGAGGGGCTTCAGGGCTTCGAGTCAGCCCAGAGCAGCCTTGTGGGGAAAATCTGTTAAAGAACTGAGTTTGGAGGAGCACACGCTCAGTTGGGTGTGTGAGGGCTGGGCCGAGCCGGGTCTTGGTCGGGGTGCAGGGCGTGACTGTCTACCCCGCCCCCTTGCACCCCCAGGTGTTTGACAACACCCCAGCGGCCCTGGACGGCACCGTGGCAGCTGGTGACGAGATCACCGGTGTCAATGGCCGGTCGATCAAAGGCAAAACTAAGGTGGAGGTGGCAAAGATGATTCAGGAGGTGAAGGTAAGGCTGCTGTGGGTGGGGGGTGGCAGGGGGACACAGGCAGCCTAGCTGCTTCGATGACGCCCAGCCTGCCAGAGGCCCCGGCAGGCCTGGAAGGGGATGGGCCCTCTCTCCACTGCCCCCTCGGTACACCAGAGTCTGGACCACACTCCAGCCTCCCTCAGTGTCTCCCACATCTCGTCAATAAATACCACTCATGCTCCAGGACTTGTCATGCCTTGGCGGGAGAGTGGGCACCTTCCCGTCCCCTGCCCTTCAGCTCCCAGGGTTGCTGTTGGACTGGGAACCATGCCTCAGGGCGAGCCAGTGTGTCCCCACTCAGGGCTGGAGCTGAAGCTAGAAGTCCAAGGTGAACCTGCTGGGGTCAGTAGACACCCAGTAAATGTCAGTTGGGCCATGCTGGGCCTGGGAGGTGTACGAGGGAAAGATGAGCGCCCTCCCCCCCAACCCCCCCCCCGCTTCCTCATCCCTGTAGGAGCTTTCCGTCCACTGGGTCCTCCTGGGCTCACAGACCCCCAGGGAAACTTCTGGGGTCTGGGGCAGCTCTCAGTCCTGCCCCAGGTCTTTTATTCTGCAGACCACAATCACCCACGGCCGGTCCCCTGCTCCCCACGCCCCACCCCAGCTGCTACGGGCCAAGGCCTTGCCCCACAAGTCCCCTCCCCTGCCAATGGCTGGCAGCATCCTGACCGGTCACGGAGCAAGCATGTAGCCCTTTTGCCATTTCTTAGAGATTTTGTTGCTAGTGACTTGGGAAACCAAAACAGCAAACCAAACCAATGCAAAGCCATTGGATGATTTCAAAGTCTTCGAGTCAAGGGTCCCAACTATAAATTGAGCTTGGCCGAGTGTTCTGACTCCCTCACCCCTATCCTTCCAGACCTCTCCTCACTCCTGTCCCTCCTCCATGTCTTAGGGACCTGGTACCAATGTCCCTGCCAGACCCTCTTGCCTTAGCCCGGGGCCAGGTGCCTCTCCACCTTCTCCCGTTTATTCTCCTGTTCTGCCCCACGTGGCCTGGGTGTTCCTGACCCGGCGCAGCCTGTTGGGCGGAGGAGCTCTCGTGGGAAGCAGGTGGACGGTGTTTCATCCTGGTACAGACCGGGGGGCGGGGGCGTTCCCCCTGTGGCTGCTTCCTCAGCCCTCACAGCTGTGCTCAGCACAGCACCCCCGCCCCGTCCTCTGAGGCCTGTCCCACGCCAGCCCCCATGTTGCCCACAAGGACGAGAGGTCTTCACGTGTGTGCACAGCCGTGACACTAACGGAGGGGATCTCCCGGCTCCCGTGTTTGGCTGTGGGCAGGGACTATAGTCCCCATTTATTGGCGCCCAGAGGGAGGAAGGGATTTGCTTTAGTCACACGGCTGGACCAGCACCCAGGTCTGAGTGCCACTGCCCTCAGCTGCTGTCTGTCACGGTCCCCACAGCGCACTCCGCCGCAGCCTGAGAGAGCCTTTGCCTCTGCCCCTGACTCTGACGGCATCAGGTCATTTTGGTTTCCCTTCAGGGCTCATTTTGGAAATCTTGTTTTGTATTTGAATGGGTTCTGTCCCAAGTTCAAGGGACTTAGGATTGCATGGATGAGAGTGACTGTGGCAGCCTCCCGTGGTTAGGGAAGGCTTCTCAGGAGAAGCCAGCGCTTCTCTTCCAGTTATAGAAAGTGATTTGCATCGGCCTCCCTGCTGGCTTGGGCCCTGAGGGCTGGGGGCTGCCCCACACCTGCTCCTTGGCATCCTGGCACCAGGCACAGAGTAAGTGCGCAGACGTGTTAGCTGGGTGAACGCAGGGGCTGCTGAGCCTGGGGCGATTTAGAGCATAGCAGATACTCCCTATGGCATGGTGTGGGGAAGGGCGGGGCACCTGGTCTCCTGGAGCACAGGACCCCCAAGACCACCAGGCGGTGAGCTCTGATGGCAGGGACCATGTCTGTCCATGTCCCTGCTGGTTCCCCAGGGCCCAGCACATAGTGGGACAAGGAGGGAGCTGGGAATAAACCAGTTACAAGGCAGGGCCCGGTCACAGCCCTTGGCCCAGCATGGCAGAATTCATGGTTAGTCTGGGCCCTTCCCAGGTCTCAGGATTCTCTCGTGACCACATATTTCGGGGCAGACAGGCTTTCCCAGGGAAGGGGCTTGGGACCCAGGAGACTCCTTCTCAACTCTCCTCTTTTCCAGGGAGAGGTGACTATCCACTACAACAAGCTGCAGGCGGACCCCAAGCAGGGCATGTCCCTGGACATTGGTAAGCTGGGTCAGAGCAGTGGCACCCAGTGGCCCCACAGGCCCCTGGCGCCCCTGTTCTGCATTTTTATGACAGTGTGTCAAGAGTTACCTGGCTTTTGACCAAGTCAAGGGCCTGGGAGGACCCAGGGTGCTCTCCTGCAGCTGCTCCCAAGAAATCTGTCCCTGATTTTCCTCTGCCCCATGTTGCAGTCCTCTCCCAGGGCCACCTCCTCTGGGACCTCGCTGCCCTAGGGTTGTCCCTTATAGGCCAGCCCTTCGCCCCTCCAAAAGGGAGGGCAGCCTACAGTGAGGTGTGGTGCCTCATGCCCACCCGCATGCCCCTACGTGGCCCTGGCCGCCTCTTCCGCCCACCTGCTCCCAGGAAGGCTCGAGGTCTGAGCTGGACATCAGGCCTTGGATAGAGGGTCACGGGCCACCTCTTACTCTCATAGCATTCCGTGGGACAGGTTGCCTCCTGCTAGGGGGGCTGGGCTTTGGTTCTGTAGAAGCTTCAGGCTCCAGAGCTGGACATTGCAGCTTTGAGGTCCTCTGGACCAGCCCCCTCATTCCACATCAAGGCCTGAGGCCCAGAGAGGGCTCTGTGTCCCCTGGTGATGCACATCCAGATCTCTTGGCTCTGGAGCCAGCACACTTTTCTTCTACCCTAGGGCCACAGCTATGTCCTGGTTTTTAGGGAGAGAGGCTAAGATGAAGTGTGTCCTCGATGGAGGTGCTCTGTAGAAACCCCTTGGGTCCCACCCCGTCCCCTTCCAGGGGCTCCGTATGCGACCACGTATACAGTAACTGAGTCCGGGGTCTGAGGTCACTTGCACTGATGGCAGCTCGGCTCTCAGATGTGAAGGGAGAAGAGGCTCTCCCTGGTTTGCCTGTTGGCACTTTACAGATTAGCCTCCTTCCAGCTTCCAGCACCGCCTTCACGGAGAGCAAGTAGGGCAGGGGGCCCAGCGCGGCCCCACTGGGGCTCTCTCCACCTCACAGTCACCCCTGCACCAGAGCTCAGTGCAGCCCCCTCAGCCCCTGCTGTCACTGGCCATGAGGAGATGAGCTGGGGCAGGGATGGCCTGATGGCCCAGCTGCACACTCCCCTCACTGAGTCCCTTTCTTCCCTGGTCCCAGTGTTGAAGAAAGTAAAGCATCGGCTGGTAGAGAACATGAGTTCGGGGACCGCAGACGCCCTGGGCCTGAGCCGGGCCATCCTGTGCAATGGTGAGTCCTCTCCTCCTGCCCAGGGTCACAGGCCCAGGCTTCCAGATTGAGGGGCACCACGGCCGCCCGTGGAACTGACGTGGCCCCTGCCGCCCGTGGGGCCGATGGTCACCATCTGCATCCCCAGAGGCCTCTCTGCCTCCCACAGAGCGTCCATAGCAGTCAGCTGAGGCATCCTGCAGCCAGCGGCCCCCATGCCCGGGCCAGGGTTCCAGGCCCAGGTCACAGATGAGACAGATGCCCAGCGCGGAGGTGCCTCCTCCCAGCTCCCCGCGCCGGTGCCTTCGCCACTGTCCTCAGCCACTGTCACAGAGCCTGCGGCAGCCACGAGGTGCCCTCAAGTGCAGCCCCAGCTCCCTGCTCCCGCAGTGCCCCTCCCCGCACCCCTGCCTTTCCCCAGGAGGTGGCGCTGCTGCCCTTGCTGCTGAGGTTCCAGGCCAGGACGGGAGGTGGGGGGGGAGCCGCGGACACACACGTTCACACCCACGCATGTGTGTGGCCTGTAAAACACTTGGTCCTGCTCCCACCGTCCGCAGCCCGAGCTTATAAATAGCAGTTCTGTGCATGTGTGGGGGCTAGATTTAAATGCCTATGTGTATTGTCGGCTCAGCTGGGCACACTGGGCAGCATTGGCTGGGACGTGGGGGTGGGGTCTGAGCTCGTTCCAAGCCCTGTACAAAAGTGGTGGCTGCTATTTTCAGCTTCTTGGTGTCTATAAATCCCTGTTACTGTAGTGACCATGCGCTGAGATGAAATTAGAACTGGTTGTTGTGTTTTTCCCCCCAAACCTTGCAATTTCCCCAGCCTTAAATAGGGTTTCTAAAATTGAAGCTGTCATGATGTCCCATGACCCAGCTAAAAACAACAGCATGGTGCTTACGTGGTTCCTTTCCTGCCAGGCTGGCCAGGGGCCAGGGCTCTGGGGGCCAGCCAGGGGCCAGCTGGGGGCCAAGCTTCTGAAGACCCCTGCGATACTCCCTCCCCCGCTGCCCCAGAGCCCACATGGCCGCCTGACACCCAGCCACCTTGCCCAGACTCGGCTTCCACTCTCCTCCCCACCTCCCGCTCAGAAAACCCTGCCTGGGGCGGAAGGGGGTGTTAGAGGGCTCACCCAGCTGTGTGCCTTCGGGCAAGTTGTCCCTCGGCTTATACAGTCCCTGCCCCAGAGGCTCATTCAGAGGAAGGACTGAGCTGTGTGCAAGGAGCCTTGAGCGGTGGGTCCAGGCTCACAGCAGCTGAGCTCAGTGCAGCCAGGCCCTGCCCTGAGGGGCCGCCACATGAGGAAGCCACGGCACTGACCCTGCCCTGTGGTGGCCGCTGGTGCTCCTGGTGGGGCGGTGGGAGGGCCCTCATCCCCTCACTGCTGGAGGGCCCTCCCTCCCTGATCCAAAATGCCAGCCCCGGCAGTCTACTTGCTCCCATTTTGAGCCCTTGAGGGGAGGCAGCTGCCCCCACCTCTCCCTTGACAGGCCTATGGTCACCCCAGTCATTGCCTGGCCACCGTCTCTTCTGCTGGACTGTGAGCCTCGAGGGCATGATGTGGGGTTCATTCACCAAGGTCATTCTGTGGGCCTGACGGGCCCGGCACACAGAAGGTGCTTGAGAAAGCTCTGTGAAGCGAATTGAGGATGATCGCCGAGGCCGGGTCCAGCTCGATCTCTGCCTCAGGGCCCTTCCTGACTCGGTCTTCCCTCCCCGAGTGGTTCTCCCTCCTGAGCTGTCACATTTGCTTGTCACGCCTGCACTGAGGCTGTCACAGCGACTCGTCTCTCCGGCTTATCTCTGACTGCCTTCCCCCTTGGCTGTCGGCAGGGTTTGTGCTAGAAGTACGCGGGCCTTGCCTGCTAGGACAGGGCCTGCCTTTGGCTGGCCATCCGGAGCCACCCACACGTGGGGCATCGGGGACGACCCAACCATTTTTCACCGTTGACTTTGGCAGTACCGAAATGATCACCACCTTCCTGCCCCGCTAATGTGCTGCCTGCTGGGTGGGGACTTACCTCAGGAGTGGCCCGAGGGCCGCCCTGCCTGTCCCTGGCTTGCCTGTGGTTTGGGGGTCCCGGGCTGCTACAGAGCACTCCCGAGTGTGGCCGAGGAGCCAGCTCCCCCTTCCTGGGGCCCGTCCGCTGTCAGTCCTGGCTCTCTTCTGGGCCACCCCTGGCACGCTCCTCACCCCGGGCTTGTCGAGACTCACTGCCGCCCCCCCCCCGCCCCCACAGACGGGCTTGTGAAGAGGCTGGAGGAACTGGAGCGGACCGCCGAGCTGTACAGAGGTGAGCGGCGTGCCCGGCACGGGCTGCTGGGGTGGGTCGTCCCGGCCCTGCTCTGACACGGTGGCAGCAGGCGCGGGAATGCTGGCCTGTGAAATCCTAGGACTGCGGCCATCAGGGATTCTTAGGAAAAAAGCCTCTTAAGACATACTTTTTCTGATTATGAAGCTAATACATATCCATAAAAATTCCAGTAATAGCACACGGGAATGCAGTGGGAGTCTCTCCGAACCCAGCTAGCGCCCAGAGAGCCGGCCCATGGGAGGCCTTGTTCGCCGTCTGCCCCGCGGAGCCCTGGGTCTCCTGTCTGACGGGGACCCCTCTTGGGTGGCGCTGGGCCTGGGGCTGAGCCCTAGTGGGGCTGTGGGAAAAGCCAGTGAGCTCAGGAAGAGTGAAGGCCTCAGGGTGGGGTTGGAGGCCGTGTCCTGGGCGGCCATTGTGGTCCCACCATGTGTCCCCATCCCCCTTCGGTCGGGTCTCTCCCACAGGAATGACAGAACACACCAAGAACCTCCTCCGGGCCTTTTATGAGCTGTCACAGACACACCGGGGTAAGGGCGCCCCCAGACATGCTCTGTGACCCTGGAAAGACCCTCGCTCCCCTCTGAGCTCAGTGCTCCCTCATACAGTGAGGGTGTGGCCGAACCCCTCCCTGGGGCCTTCCTCACAGCCACACCCAGGCAGATGCCACGGCATCTGATGTCGGGCCAGGTTCGGGCTGAGCCTTGTCTAGATGCCAGGAGGTAGCAATAATGGGGGCCAGTAGGGAGCATCTGGACCAGCTGGTCTTCTGTGGGGCCCAGTCCCTTGTCTGGGCCCTCCCCCATCTTATCTCTACCGCCGCTTATAGTGTTTAGAGCCTTCCTTATGCGTGCTCCCATTTCCTACAAGTCTGCTTGGCTGGGCAGGGCAGCTGCAGTTATCCCCGTTTTACAGTTGGGAAAATGAAGCCCAGGCATAGGAAATGGTCACCCAGCCCCTTTGGGCAGAGCTGGCCTTAGACCCCGGCATCCAGATTCCCAGAGCAGTGATCTGCCGTCAGGCAACGCTGGCCTCCAGTCTTGACTGAGCCTTCTTCCCACATGGTCTGGTCATTCTGGGGAATGAGGGCTACTCTCTTGGGTATAGGCCCAGCTCCCTTGGGGGTACAGACCCAACTCTTTTCAGGTGTAGACCCACCTCCCTTGGGACATAGACTTCATATAGACCTTGGCCTTCAGCCTGCCATGCCCCCTGCCCTGCTTCTCCCCGACAAATCCCTGGCTTCCCCATGAAGGGGTCAGGTAGGGACAGCCTTCAGGGCAGACTTGTCCTGCAGCCTTTGGGGACGTGTTCTCCGTCATCGGGGTGCGGGAGCCCCAGCCAGGCGCGAGCGAGGCTTTCGTGAAGTTTGCCGACGCCCACCGCAGCATCGAGAAGTTCGGCATCCGGCTGCTGAAAACCATCAAGCCGGTGGGTTGTGTGGGGCGTGTGTGTGTCAGCATGTGAGGGTAGAGAGGGGACAGTGTGGCTTGCAGAAGGGTCCCGGACTGGAGTCAGAACACGTGGGTGTAGGTTCTGGCTTGGTCACCTACACGGCTGATTGTGGGTCGGTCACTCTGCTTCCTTGGCCTCACTCGGCATTGACCTCCAGGCTGGTTTCTGGCCCTGGCTGCACCTGAGTTACGGTTTGCCCTGGGCCCAGCTGTATCTTCTCACCCTTGAGTGGGCAGACTTGTCTGAGGGTGCCCTTTGGCTCTGACACCTGGGTCCACTAGAAGGATTGCTGGATCAATGCCGTTCTTTGTCATGTTGGCTAGCCTAATCCCTGCCCCCGGGGGACTAGCATCTGCTCCCTGCTTCCCTTCCAGATGCTGACAGACCTGAACACGTACCTCAACAAAGCCATCCCAGACACTCGCCTCACCATCAAGAAGTACCTGGATGTGAAGTTCGAGTACCTGGTAAGTGGTCTCCAGCCCCTGGGGAGGGATGAGTCTGGCATGCTGGGGAAAGAACCCACCTAGAGATTTTCCCTTCAGTTGGCCACAGGATGGCAGGCAGGACAGCCCTAGAACCTCTGTCATGTCTGAGGGTGTGGGACCAGGGACCTGGGAGGGACTGGGGAATTGGGCCACAGCCTAGACCCTGCCCTGACTGCACCGAGGAGCCTCTGGGAGCCTGAGGTAGGCAGAGCCCTTACTCTGGACCCCTTTGACCCCTTGGGATTTTTTGGTCACTTTTACAAGGGGTCAGTGGTTATAAAGTGGGTGCCAAGGGACATTATTGAGTGGTGGGGTTTTTTTTTTTAAGGTGATTGATTGAAAGAGCGTGTGAGTGGGAAGAGGGGCAGAGGGAGAGAATCTCAAGCAGACTCTGTGCTGAGTGTGGAGCCTGATGCGGGGTTCGATCTCACGACCCTGAGATCACGACCTGAGCTGAAATCAAGAGTTGGACACCCAACTGACTGAGCCACCTGGGCGCCTCTGGACATTTTATGTTGAAAAAAAAATTCTGATGGTCAAAAGAGTTGAGGGGAAAATGCTCCACCAAGCAAGCCAAGGCTCCTTTGATGCAGGACTTCTCAGAGCCTTGGACAGGCTTGTGTGCAACATGAATCTCCTAGGGCCTTCCTACGCTCTTTTGACCATGGAATCCCTTTTAACCCAGAACATCTCTTAGGACTTGAGTTTGGCAAATGCTGGGCTGTTTCTCAGGCCCTTGCCACCCTCCCAGATGAGTGCCCCCTCCTGTGTACTGCCACTTCGCCCTGGGCCTCCCCAAGCAAGGGCCAGTCGAGTGAGGTTCCAGCCTATCCTAGTTGAGGGCACGCAGGGCCCAGGAGGCCTGGCATGGCCGCCCCCAGGCAGGGCTTTGGGGTCCTGTGGGGCATGGATGGAAGTGGGCATCAGGGTGGGCATCCAGGAGGCACTGCCCCTCTGACATCGTGGCCTTGCTGTCCCACACAGTCCTACTGCCTGAAGGTGAAGGAGATGGATGACGAGGAGTACAGCTGCATCGTGAGTTTTCAGGGGCGATTGGGGGGTGGCCCTGGTGCTGGAAAGTCTTGGGGTGCACACAGCTGCCCCTGCTTGTCTCACAGAGGCCCAAGAATGTCCTGGGGCTGCCAGGGGCAGCAGGTGGCTCAGACCAACCTGGGAGAGGCTTGGGGGTCTGGCTGGGCTCTTGTTTCTGGAGGTGCGGGGCTGTCCATCCCCACCCAGGCCCCTCTGGGCCTCCGAGTGCTGGCCAGCTTGCTGCAGGGCCTCTCCCCCAGGCTTTGCGAGGCTCTTGTGGGGAGAAGCTGACTTCCCTCCCTCCTAAGAGGCCATTTTTAATCCTCTATGTTTTTAATATTTTTGATGGCAGGATCTACCTTAGCACTAAATGTTCATTATTTAACGTGTAAGGGTGTGGTCTTTTGTTTTCTTCACAAAGAGTAAGTGCTTCTGGTGTCCCAGAAATGAGGGGCCGTGGGAGCTTTGAAAAGTGCCGTGTGCTGCAGGGGTGTGAGCTGGGAGCTGGGCTCTGCAACCTTACCCCCGCCGCCGTCTGTCCCAGAGCAGGCTCCCCCTCCCCCACTCCCCACCCCGCCAGGGTCCTGATGTGCCCCCCACTGCCCCAGGCCCTGGGGGAGCCCCTGTACCGTGTGAGCACAGGCAACTACGAGTATCGCCTGATCCTGCGCTGTCGCCAGGAGGCCCGCGCCCGTTTCTCCCAGATGCGCAAAGACGTGCTGGAGAAGATTGAGTTGCTGGACCAGAAGCATGGTGAGGGGAGTAGGTGGGCACTGGGGGCCAGAGAGGCCTGCCCAACCCCAGGCCTGCGCCGTGCTTGCGCTTGGGGGGTGGGTACCATCTCCCCATTTCAGAGCTGGGGAAACGGTGGCCCGGAGAGGTAAGGTACCTCCGTGAGGTCACACGGTCCCACCGTGCAGAGCTTTGAGTCGGACCCAAGATGGAAAGTCCTGGCAGGAGCGGCCCCCCTTCCTGGGGCCTGGTTTGGGTGGGACTGGCCCATGCCCCGGGGGTGCAGTGGGGTCCACAATCTCCCCACTGTGCCTGGGAGCTGGGAGATCTGCGTCTGCGCCGGGGCAGGAGGCGGGCCCGGGCCGGCTTGGCGGGGGGGGGGGTCTTCTCCACCGGTGCCTGTCTGCCCGCCCTCCTGCCCCAGTCCAGGACATCGTGTTCCAGCTGCAGCGCTTCGTGTCCACCATGTCCAAGTACTACAACGACTGCTACGCGGTGCTGCGTGACGCCGACGTCTTCCCCATCGAGGTGGACCTGGCCCACACCACGCTGGCCTATGGCCTCGGCCAGGACGGGTTCACCGACGCCGAGGACGAGGAGGACGAAGATGACGACGACACGGCAGCCGGGGAGCCGCCCAGGGTTGCGCAAGGGGCTGCTGGGCCCCTGGACAGGGGTGGGAGCTGGTGTGACTCCTGAGTGCGCCCCCCCGCCGTGGGGTGCGGATGGGGGGTGTGGGCGGGAGGACAGAGGGTGGAAGCCGGGGCGGTGCCGCCGCACCACAGGGTGGCGCATAAAGGCCGGCTGGCTTGGGGCGCTGCCTCCCCGCTCCTCTGTGCTGGCTCAGCGAACCGGGCTCCAGCCCAGGAAAGTGCCCAGGGCCTGTGGCCTGACCTGGACACTGGTCCCCCCCCCGCTCCCCAGCCAGTTGGGGAGCTTGGCCCCTGGAACTGCCTTAGGGAGGAGAGAGGGGGCGCAGAGAGGAGGGCTTGGAGGTGGCCCCAAGTCCCGGAGCCGCTGCCCGTGGGCACCAGCACCGGCCCCACCTGGAGCCTGCCAGCGTGGGGGGCCGGGGGCGCACAGCCGAGGCTGGGGCCAGTGGCCGCGGACCCCCTCACCTCGCCCCAGGCCGGCCCAGCCCCTCCCACACTCACACCTCTGCGGCCTTTATTTATTCATGTCCCCCAGCTCAGCCGCGTCCCCAGGGGAGGGCCGGGCGCTGGGCCTGTACCGAATAAACACAGACCCAGACTGAGCCGGGCTCTTTGCGGTGGCCTCGGACCCGCCTCCTCCCCTCGCCGCCCCGTCTGCTGCCTCCCTGGTCCCGAGGGAGGGCGGGCAACAAGATGTATCGACATTCCCTTCATACCCCCACTCGTCTTCCTCGCTGCAGCTCTGTGAACTGGCACTCCTGTCCCCGCGTACGGACGGGGGACTGAGGCTAGAGAAGTGGCTTGCTCAGGGCCACCCAGTGTCCAGGGATAGAGAGGGATCTGGACTTGAATCTGGCAGGTCCCGGAGACCCCAAGGCTTGCTGCTTTGTGGGGCCTCTGACCTCCTCCCTCACCTTGCCTCTGCCCGGGCTTCTGGCCAGTAGCTCTGCCGTCGTTGGGAAGGGCAGGGCAGACGCTGGGTCAGGAGGCCCCAAGGCCCCACGTCGGGGTGAGAATGTCAGGGATGCCCCCAGCACTCTAGGCACACCTAGAAGGCCAGCGGACAACGCCGACCTAGTACTCTGCGTCTTTGCAAAGTGGTGGAAATGGGCTGGCTCTGTCTCCTGTCAGCACAGACCACACCTGTGGTCCCCGTGTAATGAACGGTGGCTCTTTTCACCCCAAAAGTGTCCCTGTTTGAACAGTGAGTTATACGCTCATCCTGAGAAGGGGAGGAGGCAAGAGGCTGTGAGGGACTGTGACTGAAGGAACAGCCAGCGTGAAGGCCAAGGGCGCAGACCGAAACCCACTGCTGGATTCCAGCCACCGCCTCTGTGACCCTGGGCTACTCCCTAACCTCTCTGTGCCCCAGTTTCCCTGTCTGTGCTTGTGGCCAGTAGTGGTCCTTAACCTCCTTGGGCTATAAGTATCTGATGAGTTAGCACTTGTAAAGGTCCTAACAGCACCTGGCACAGAGTCCCTGCTCTGTTTAATAAAATGTAGTCACTGCTCTAGTGGCTCAGGGATGCAGACCTGTGTGTTAGCCAGGCATTTTCGAGGGCTCCCACGCCTTCGTAGGACCTGGATGGAAAAATGAGACCAACGGTGGGGAGGAGGGGGGGTACTAGTGGGACAGCTCAATAGCAGGGCTCTGCGGTGGGAAGGCTCCTTCCTACTCTCGGGCCTGGTTTCCACACTCATGATTTGGAGGGAGGGAAGCAAAGGAAGTGCCAGGTGTCAGATTTGTGGGAAGAGAATAAATACATGGAGCGAATAGGTCCCAGAGGCTTTCCAGCCAGGGTGAGACCTGGGCTCTGCTGCACTTGGATCCAAGTGCAAGAGGTCAAAAGTCAAAGTGCCAGAGAGACCCCTAAGTGCCTCCAAGTCAGAACACCTCCCCCCTCCACGCCCCCTCTTCCATCTCTGCCACTTCCTCCCCCAGCACCTTCCGGGTCAGAGGGCCCTGGGGAGAGCCTCTCAGAATCCCTCCCACCTCCTCCGACCCCCAGCCACCAGTCTGGGAAGGCACAGGAACGGGACCTCTGTCTTGCAGCTGAGCTTTATGAACTTCAGTTTCGCACAGGCCAAACCCGGTCCATGCACAGCAGCATCACTGAGCCAGGCCACAGCCTGGCCATGGCCCACTGGGCAGATGAGGGAGGGAGCTCCTCGCCGCCCCCCACCCCTGCCCGGGCCCCAGGGGGGACCACCGCAAAGCAGCCTCCAGCGTGCCAGGCCCTCTTGGGACAGCCAGGGCTCTGAGAGGGTAAACCCCATTCCCAAAGTCACCAGCCACCTCGCCTGGTGCCCCTGGGGGCTATACAGGCTTGGGCTCCCGCCCTGGTTCCGCCTGCGCCTCTGGTGCCGCGGCCCCCGGGCTCGGCACCTCCCGGGCTTCGAGGCTGCCAGGCTCCTCAGCCCCGGCGGGCAGGGCCTCAGAGTCGCCTGGCGCCTCAGCGTCCTCACTGTCGCTGGCCGTGCCCCCGGCGCCTTGGCTGGGCCGGGTGTCTTGAGAGCGGCGGCCGTGCAGGCAACACTTGGTGGCGACGGCCATGAAGACCCCGGCCAGGGCCACCTCGGAGCCGGCCAGGTAGAAGATGACCTCGTAGTTCCTCAGGGCGTCCACCAGGCGGCCTGGGGCGGGGAGGGGGGCGCGAAGTGAGGGCCTGCGTGGAAGCCCCCCTTCACCCTTCCCCACGGCCTCAGATAAAGGGCAGTGCCCCCCTCAACCTGGTGGGGTTTACATTTTTCCACCTAACCCCCTGGTCTTCAGGGGCCTGGCTCAGATTTCTCTCCGTATCCCTCCCCAGCCTCCTCCTGCCCCTGCCAGGGGCCCCAGTACCCCTAGGCTGAGCTTCCAGTAGTGCAGGCTGGGGGCAGGACTTGTGGGTCACAATCCCTGTTAACCCCCTCTGTATTTTCCAAGTGTTCTCTCCAAGCACGTATTACTTTCATACTCAGGAAAATCTTTTAATTTTAATTGCAAATATTTGCCCCCCAAGCATGGTTCCTCTGCGGGCTCCATCCTCCCCTGGCATTTTTGTCGCTCACCACCCCAGGCTGTGACCCCTTGGTCTACAGCTCTGTGGCTTTGGGGAGGCTTCCCGGTGTCCCCCAAGCCAGCTGCCTGCCTGAGCCCCTCTGAGCACTTCTCCTAAACTTGCCTTCCTGGTCCCTGCCCAGCCAACCAGTCCTGTCCCTGCCCGCCCCTCCTACACTCAGCCCTGCAGTGTTCACCTCCTTACCCCCTATTAGACCCACCCCCCAGGTCACATGAGAAAATGGAAGATGGACCCCTGAGCCTCTGGGGGGCTGGTTTTGTGGCTTTTGGTGGTGAGCTTGGGGGGGGCCGCCCTCACACTGAAGTGAGATGACAAGCCCTGATGAGGACACTTGGCTAACCCAGCCCTGGAAGGAGGGGCAGTTCACCCTATCTCAGGGGCAGCCTGGGCCCCAGCAGAGGTGGCTGTTCCTCCCACCGCCTGACCACAGACAGGCTGTGCTGTTTCAGAGACAATCCGCCAACCCAGGAGGACCCTAATGTCCCCTCTTTCCAAGCTCAGTTCCTGCCTCACTTGTATAGGAACCCTGTCCCCCTAATGTGCCCCACACTGTCCTATGTCCTGCCCTGTGAAGCTGCCTGCATGCCGGCCCCTGCAGGGATCCTCCCTGGCCTCTCATCATGGTGACTTCCTAAGGCCAATGACTGTAGTGTGCCCAGTGGGTGGGCGCACAGCGGAAGGCCCAGACCCTGTCCCTGCATGGTAGCTTCACCAAGCGAGGGCAGGACCTGGCCATGGCCTGCTGGACAGATGAAGGAGGGAGCTCCCCTCCCGGGCCCCAGGGTGACCACTCATTAGCACCCCCACTCTGCTCCCAGCCTCACGTCTGGTCCCTCAAAGACACTGCCCCTATCCTGGTCACCCTTGGCGGCTGGGGACACTAAAGCCCTCAGCTGCAGTGTTCCAAAGGTAGGGGCATTTAGCCCTGGGCAGGGCTCTGCTCTTCCTCTGGGACCGCACTGTACTAGGCCCCTGTGCCTCAGTTTGCCCACCTGCAAAAGGAGAATAAGCACCTGTACTTCACAAGGACTCTGTGCCAACATTTGAAATGACCCAATGGGTCCGCTGCTGTCAGTGTTGGGTTCTTCCTGGCACCTTTCCCGGCCCTTCCGCCCCCGCCCAGAGCTAGTAGTACCGGGCTTGGAGGAGGGGCTAATTAGCCACGGGAAGGGGGTGCCCACCCCACCAGTCTGTCCCCGCCAATGGGTCCCTTTCCCTCATCCCTGGAAGCTCCATCTGGGGCAGGGAGGGCTCTTCCCTCGGTCTGGGGAACTAGCCCCGCGCCCCCTCCTCCCGGGACGGGGAGGCGCACCGGCAGAGGGCGGTCCGATGAGCACGGCCACGGCCTCGACGAGCAGCACCAGGCCCAGCGCGCTGGGGAAGCGGTGCGAACCCACGGCCGCCATGAGCACCTCGAACTGCAGCGCACCCACCATGCCGTACGAGAGGCCGAAGGCGACGCAGAAGGCGACAAGGGCGCCGTAGGAGCGCGCACGCGCGCTGCTCAGATCCGTGATTCCGTTGGCCATCAGGGCCAGGCTGAAGAGGTAGGCGACATGGGGTCGCAGGCGCGCCAGGCCCGCCAGGGCGCCGCACGCCGGCCGCGCCACGATGTCTACGAAGCCCACGATGGACAGCAGGAAGGCGGCGTCGGCGTCCGGCACGCCCGCGTCCTTGGCGTAGTTCACCAGCAGGATGGCGGGCACGAAGAGCCCGAGCGCCATCAGGAACTTGGTGATGGCGTACACCCCGAAGGCGCGGTCCGCGCACACCGCCACGTCCAGCAGGCGCCGGCGGCTGCGGCCGCCAGAGGGCGCCTCGCGCAGACGCAGCCCCGCGCGCTCCGCCTCCGCCTCCCCGGGAGCGCCGTCCGCGCTGTCCCCGCGAGGCCGCGGGCCGGGGCCCGGCGGCGGGCGCATGACGGCGCCGCACGCGCAGCAGTGCAGCAGGAGGCCGCCGAGCAGCAGGAAGCCGCCGCGCCAGCCGAAGTGCTCGAGCAGCTGCTGGCCGAGCGGCGACAGCGCCGACAGGAACACGGGGCTGCCCGCCGCCGCCAGCCCGTTGGCCAGGGGCCGCCGCCGCTCGAAGTACAGCCCCAGCATGATGAGCGACGGCTGGAAGTTGAGGGCCAGGCCCAGGCCTGCGGGCGAGGCGGCGCTGTGCCGGGCTCCCCGAGGGCGCCCCCACCCCCAGCCCCCAGCGGGAGGGAGGGGCCAGGCCCCCACGGGGTGGGCCGACTACCTCTCGAGGGGAAACTGAGGACAGGAGGCCTCGCAGCGAGGACTCCCGTCCCCCCCGCCCAACACACACACCCGCACGGCCAGCCCCATCCGCGCAGGAAAGGCGAGTCGTGGCCGCCCTCACCTGTGAGCACCCCGGCCGTCAGGTACAGCTCCAGGAGGCGCGTGGCGAAGGATGCCAGGACCATGCCCGCCGAGGCCAACAGCCCACCCACCAGCATCACCGGGCGACAGCCAAAGCGGGTCACGAGGATGCTGGAGACAGGACCTGTGGGCAGGGCACGGTCACCGCTCAAACTGGACTAATCTCTCTCCCGTAGACACTCCAGGCTTGGCACCTGCCAGCCCCCAGAAGATGGCTCGAGGGGAGAAGGGCACCCTCGGTTCAGAGAGGGCAGTGTCTGCCCAAGGTCACAGAGCTTGGCTAGGACAGACCAAGGAGGCAGCGCCCTGCGGGGGGACGCAAGGAGGGGACCTGCCTTGGTCCAGAGGCCCCATCCCCAACCCTCCTGAGAACAGGGAACCCAAAGCAGAAGAGGCAGACGCCCCTCGCTTTTTATCTGCACAGCTGGAATCGTCCCTTGGGTTGCTCAGGTTCTTTCCACGCCTTACTCCCAACCCCCCCACCCTGGGCGGCCCCCCAGGTGGTTAGGGCGCCACTGCCCCCTCCCTGCCCCCTCCTCCCCTGTCTCTGGGGAAGAAAGTGGTTTCCGTGCTCTCCCCGCGGGGCCTGGGGGGTGCCCAGGGGGTCTGAGGGGCCTGGGGGAGGGACCCGCGAGGGGGCGCTGACCGGTGCCGTAGAGCATGGCGAGCATGATGGAGGACACCCAGGCCGTGTCGCTGTAGCCCGCGCCGAAGTCGCGCATGAGCGCGCGGAAGAAGACGCTCACGGCCTTGGGGAAGCCGTACGCGAAACCGGTGACCACGAAGCAGGCGCCCAGCACGGCCCAGCCCCAGCCTCCGTCTGGGGGACCCGCGCCCCGCCGGGGGCCGCCAGCGCCCATCGCTGCTGCCTCTGCTGGAGGAAGGGGACAAGAGGGAGCAGCGAAGGTCTGTAGCCCCAACTAGAAAGGGGGATGGAGACCCATTGTGCGAAAACTGAGGCACGGGGCTACCCACGGGAGCCCTGCTCTGGGAACGAGCCCGGAGGGGAAGCCGAGGCAGAGCCGCACCCCAAATCTCCCCTCCTCCAGGGGGCCTGTGAAAGATGAGGGGAGGGTAATAGAAAGGTTCCCACCTGAGTCCGGACTTCAGGAAGACGCCCTCCGGGGGACACTCCTTGCCCAGGGACCTAGTGTGGCTGGAGAGGGGGTGCTGGTGAGTGGGAGAGCCGGGCGGGCCAGTGCGTGCCCCGTGTGCGTGGGAGTCGCCGGGGTTCCCAGTGGGCTCGTGTGAGGGTCTCGGCGCAGGAAAGAGCGCGGGGTGTGGGGCAGAGACGGGCAGCCAGGCGCCCGCTGCAGAATGGGTGGCTTTATTTTGCTCCTGGGCCTTGGCCATATGTTCCTCTTTTTTCTCAATGATCAGAAATGACTATTGCCATCAGAACATTGGGAAAAAACAAACAACCCAAGACACGCCGTGATAACATTAGCCTTGGTTGGGGAGCCAAGGGAGCTGAGCTCCAGTTCATCCCAGCTTAGCCATGGATTTGCTGTGACTGGGGCAGGTCCCCTTCCCTCGCTGAGCCTCAGTTTTGCCACCTGTAAGATCCGTGATTGATTACCCGGGGCCAACCAGGGGTCTCGGTGGGGGTTGGTCAGCTCTCTGGTTCCACCGGGACGTTTGAGGGGGCACTAAAGAGACCTTCTGCTCTCCAGACCCCTAGCAGCCCCGCAAACCCTCCACAGGCAGAAAACAGCTTTGAAGTCTCTCACACTCCGGGAGCTCCAGCCGGGGGTTCACACAGCAGCCTCCTGTGCCCCCTGAAGGGTGGGCCAGCCCACAGCTGGGGCAGGAGCCCCCTTCCCTCCTGCTGCCCCCCCCCACAGCTGGGTCTCCCTCCTGGCACTGGGCGATGCCCGGTGCTCCGTGGGGATCTGGGACCCTGACCCTCTCTCACCAGCCCCAGGTTCTGGCTTTTGCTGCCTGTTGTCCCCTCACCACGGCTGCAGCCCCCTGAAGACCAGGACAAGGGGGTGGTCCTGGCAGCTCTCGCCCCACACTCACCTGAGCCGTCCGGTGGGTTTGGATGTCCAGCCTCACATCTCCTGAGGCCTCTCAGGAGGGGCTGCCCCGCTGGCTCCCCCTGCGAAGCCGGGCCTTATGGGGGCACGCAGCTGAAGACCCCCAGGCTTGCCTGCAGATCAGCCGCTGGCCTGACTCACCCACGGCTCGCTCCCTCAGGCCTCGGGCTTAGAGTGTCCCCCACCCCCAGCCCTCTAAGAGGCTTTTGCTTGGAAAGGGAGAAGGGAGAAGGGACAGGGCATTGACCGCAGCGCAGGGCCACGCTGGACCTCACGGTGGGGGTCCCTGTCTCAGGCCCTCCCAGCAGAGCTAGAGAGGTAAGGAGGCCCCTCCACTGGGCAGAGGACACAGAGAGCCCCACTCTGGGGGAGAGGGGGGGTCCTAGTGGCGTCGGGGGCATCGCCCTGCCCGGGAGAGACCCCACCAGCCCTACTCACCTCAGTGCCTCGCCTGCCCCCCACCCCCAGGCCACATTCCAGGAGGGGATCCAGGATCAGGCTAATCCAGGTCGGAGAGCCTGGGACTGACAGGGCAGGGGGGGACAGAACAAAGGGTACTGTGTCCCGGGCTGCCGGAGGGTGACTTGCTGGTGGTGGTCCCAGACCTTGGCCACTGCCACCCCTCCCCCGCCCCCCGCCCACTTCCTGGGAAACCAGGAGCAGCAGAGAGACTGGGCCAGAGGTGGGTGGATACAGCCTGAGGGCTTCAGGGCAGACCTAAAGATCTGCTTAAGATGAGGGCTGGGAGGGGCTGTGCAGGAGCCAGGGAGTGACCTACAGGACCTCCTGGACCCCATTGTCCAGCGGGAGGCCTCCAGCCCCAACCCCCCAACCCAGTCCCCCAAATCAGACACCACCAGTCCTGCGGCTGTGTCCACTTGCTTTATTTCTCACCGTTTACAAAAGTTAAACAGGAGGACATATGCGGGGTGGGGTGGAGGGTGCGCAGGGGCTCCTCCCTGCTGGGGCAGAGAAGGGGAAGGGGGTTGGGATGCATGAGGCAGGCCCCCAGGGAGAGTCCTGGGGCCCTTGGAGGAAGAAGAAATGGTCCTGTCCCCCAATTCTGCCTCCTTTATTTTGAAGGGCCCAGACCCCAGGCCAGTCCCCTTGGAGCTGCTCAAGCTGCGGGCGGCGCGTTTGGGGCAGGGCAGCCCCCCCCGCCCCAGTATCCGGACCCCGGCTTCGCGGATCCACTGCTGCGGCGGCCACCGCCAGCTCTGGGCAGCCCCTGGGCAGTTGTGGGGGGACGACCTCAGACCCGTGCCGGAGGAAGGCACCTCAGCGGATGAGGGGCGCCGAGCGGTCATTGGTGATGGTGGGACGCAGCTTTACCGTGGCAAAGGGGTTTGTGCCCCTGTGGGGGGAGAGGCCAGGGTGAAAGGGGCCCAGGTCCTCAGCCGGCTCTGGGTCCAGGGGAAGTGGCTGGGCACCTGAGCCAGGGCTCACCCCTACCTCCTGCCCCACTGGCCACCTCTGAGCCCCGTCCACTCCGACCCCCGGCCCAGGACTCACCGAGGGAAGAGCTCTGGAGGGTGCTGCTCCCAGGACGTAAGTTTCTGCAGTGGGGGTGGAGGAAGGGCCAGGTTTAGGGGGAAAGGGGCACCCCTGCCTCTGCTACTCCCCATTCCAGGAAGGCAGAGGACCAGACCAGTGGCCCCGGCAGCACCAGGCTTCTGGGAAATAAGGCGCGGGTGTTCTGAAGCCCAGAATTCTGCAGGTTTCGGATGGGAGAAGCCTGTGGGCCAGAATACCATCCCCCAGGCTCCAGCCGCTCTCCCTGCACCCCACTCCTCACCCCGGTCCTGCCCAGCCAGCCCCGGCCCCGGCTCTGACCCAGGATCCTGGTCTTGCCTCTCCTGGGAGGTGGGAGGGCCAGGCCTTTTCCAGTGCTCCCAGCAGGACAACGGGGGCTCCAGTCCCTGAGAGGAAGGCTTTCCCCCTCCCCAGATTCCGAAGTCCATCCCACACCTCCCCTGCAGATGGGCAAACTGAGGCTGGGATGGGGAGGCCCCCTGCCAGCCAGCCAGTGGCCAAGCAGGGAGGGTTACTTCATCTCCAGTCTCCGGGCCCATGGGATGAGCCCAGGGTTGAGGACAGGTTGTGTGTGTGTTTTTGGGGGGGGGGGGGAAGGTGCTCACCTTGACGTCACTGGCCACCCCGGGGCTGCCCATGCTGCTTTGGCGGCTGTCAGGCAAGGGTGTAGGTGCGGGGCTGGGGGCGCGGCTCGGGACGCGGCTCGGGGTTCGGGAGCGGGACTGGCCGTCCCAGTACTCTGACGGTGCTGTAGAGTTGGCCGGCCGGCCCAGGAGGTCGTCAAGGCTGTGGCTGCCCCGGAGCGGGTAGGATCTGAGTCCAGAGGAGGGATGCACGGGAAGGGGGTCAGGCGTCAGGCCCCGACTGCACCGCATCCCATCTTGCTGGGCTCCTGAGCGTCCTACAGCCTCCTCCCTTGTACCCAGGCGAAAGGAGGCCACACAAGCTTGAAGGCAGCCCCAAGAGGAGGCAGAGGGATGGACACAATGACTTTCTCATGTGGGGGGGGTCCCCTTCCTCCAGGGGCCGAAGGAGGCTAGGCCCACTCAGGAATGCAACTCACAGATGCCCCCACCCCTGCCCCACTTCCGACCACCCAGATACCTGGAATGTAACTCATTCATAGGGCTCATCGGGTTCATGGAGGTCACTGGGCTCAAGGGGCACATGGGGCTCACAGGCACCTCCTCCAAAGGCTTCACATAGGCCTCGGGGAACCAGCCGCTCCTGCGGGGTGCAGGCAGAGGGTCCCATAAGCAAAAGGCCCAACAACAGTGGCCAAAATCCCACTCCCGAGAGCAGTTACTGAGCAGTGCTGTGTGCCAGGCCTCTCTCGGAGGGCCTTGCCCAGACTAACTCATTTAATCCCTCAAGGAGATCTTTCTCAACATTCAAGTCCAGCCAGCCAGTCTCATGTCCTGCCAGGGGCTGGGTCCCCTTAGGAGGCACTGGAAGTCCAAGCAGGAAAGCGCTGTGTCCAAGGACACGTGGTGACCCGCTTCATTCCCTACTCGCTGAGCAGCCACCACGTGAGGGCCCACAGAGAGCCAGACACAGTTCCTGCTCCCCAGAGGCTCCCAGCCTGGCGGATGGACAGACGCACAAATGGATGACGACGAGGGTGACTGGGAAGGGGACAGGGCAGGGGCTGAGGACCACAGGCAAACGTACGAGCCCAGAGGAAGGCGCACGGAGCCCAAGGTGCCTGACTACCAACCCGGTGCCCTTCCCTGCTCTGCCCCGCAGCTTCTGTCCACCCCAGGACTGGTTCCTGTGACCCCAGGTATCCCTGCTCTTGGAGTCTTTGCTTGCCTGGAGGCTCATTATTGCACCTCCAGAGGGCTGGGGCTGGGGGAGAGGCAGTCTCTGGCCCATAAGCCCTGTGGGGGTCACTGGCTGGCTCCAACAAGCTCCCACCTCCCCCTTTTTCTTTGGCACAAAGAGTGATCTTTGCACACTCCCCTTTTTTGGCTGCCAACCCCTGCCCTCCACCAGCCTTGCAGTGACCACAATGTACTTCCCCACCTCGGGCCCCCACTCCTGGTGTCAAAACCGACCCCAGTTTGCAATCTCGAAGGATCTTCCCTGCACCCGTGACTGCAGCTCAGCCTGTGAGGTCCCTGCATGGCCCGTGGGCCTGGCCTGGGGGAGCCCACCTCCAGGTCCACCCCCTCCATCAGAGAGCCCTGCTGACTCTCAGGGTCCGGGGGAAGCTGCTCCTCCCTCGGTGCGGGGCACACAGTAAGCGCCCAAGCAGTAGGGGTCCCGCAGTGTCCGCACAAGTGACAGAACCTTCCCATTCCTCCCGAGGGCCACCGCCCTGCCCTCTAACTACCCGCGCTGGCTGGATGAGGACACCGAGGGCGGTACAGGGGTGTGTGTGTGTGTGTGTGTGTGTGTGTGGGTGTGGGTGTGGGTGTGGGTGTGGTGGGGGGAGGCCTGCCTGAGCCCCGGGAGTGGGGGTGGGGCACCAGTCTCGGTCGGGGCCTCCGGGGCCTCCTTGCACCCCGGGCCCCAGGGCTCCCACTCACGCGCGTGAGCCCTCCAGCTTGCCGTAGAGCCAGCCGTTCTGGGCCTCGGGCACCAGCACCTCCAGGACGTCCCCGGCCGAGAAGCGCAGCAGCGTGTGGTTGGCGCCCTCCGAGTGCGAGACGAGGGCGCGGACTCTCCGGGCGCCCCCGCCGCCCCCGCCGCCCGGGCGCTCGCCGAAGGAGTTGGAGCGCGAGCGCGGGCTGCCGCCGGCGTAGAGCGAGGCTGCGGGGCCGGGAGAGCGCAGCGGCGCGCGGGTGGGCAGTTGGCCCCGGCGGCTGCCCTCGACCCCTCCTGCTGCAGCGCCCCCTCCGGGCCTCTTCCCGGGCCCCCGGGTCCCCCCCTCCCCCCCCCCGGGGGGGCTCCCTCTGCACTCACAGGCGGACGGCGTCCGGGGCAGCGACCGGCGGTCTGGTTCCAGCTGCGACGCGGACCTCGCCTCGCCGGGCTCGGAGCCGTGCCGGCTGCGGGGGGAGCCGAACTCCGCCAGGGGCCTCTGGGGCTGCGAGGGGAGACGGGCAGGGGAGGGTGGGGCGGGGAGGGGGGCGCCGCGGCGCCCTAGTCCAGCCCCCACCCCCAGTCCCGGCCGTCCGCGTAGGGGTTCTCGGGCCTGCGGCCCCGCCACCGCGGGGGCGCCCAGGCCGCGCCGGGGCGGAAGGGCCGGCCCGGGGGCGCCGCGTAGACCGGGAGCCTGCGGGGCGGGGGGCTCCGGGCGGAGGGCCGTAGGCCCCAGGGCGCCGCGGAGGGTGCGGGGGCCGGCGGGGGCGCCCAGGGCCTCACCATGTCCAGGCGGGTGGGCGTCAGGCGGCCCGAGGGGTAGGGCGGCCCCAGCACGGGGCCCAGCAGGCCCGGGGAGTGGGCGCGCGACGGGCTGCGGCTGGCCTCCGACTGCTCCTTCCACAGCAGCACGCGGTTCTGGAGCATGCCCCGGGCCTGGCCGCGTGGGGACACAGGCGTCAGCCAGATCCAAGCAGGCGCCCCCCTCCCCCGGTCCTGGGGCCTCAAAAGCGACACCCTAGACCTGGGAACTCGGGCCGCGGAAGTGGAGGATGACCCGATTTTCTAGCTGGAAGGAGCCAGAGACCACTGTGGTGCCACTTTGGACTTGCCCACCGTCTAACCCTCTCCCTCTTTTGTCGAAGAAGGCCCCTCAGTTTTCCTTGAGGTGCTTCTCCTGCCCCTTCTCTCAGTCTGTGTGCTTTGGCCAGGCTCTCCCACTGCCCAGTACAGCGGTAGGGGTAGAAGCCGGGCCTGGCCACTCAGGTTGCTCCATCCTCCTAGCTACGGTGATGGACTCAGGGATGGCACCTCCCCAGAAACTGTGACCAAAGAATCCAATTCCAGTACTTATCCTGGAACAATCTGGAAAAATATATTGTTTCACTTCATGGGCTTTGCTAAATAGAGTGAAGCCAACACAGGAAGCTACAACTAAGGGAAAATGGCAAATTTCTGATGACATGTGTGCTCCTGGATCCAGCTATACCTGAAACCCTTGAACTTCGTAGTAACTAAAGTGATAAGTACCTTTTCTGTGTAAGCCAGTTTGAGTCGTTTCCTAAAAGAGGCCTTTCAAATACAGTTTTTCCAGTCTATTCCTTTTAGTCTACATAAGCATCCCTAGTGTCCCTGGTACATGGGCATCTAACTCTGGATATTTTCAAGGATAGGAAACTCAGCCATTGACCACACAGTCCATAATAACTTGGGGGTGGGAGGGCTTTAAATGTCAGACCAGCTGTGTGCAGGAACTGTGTTTTTAATTTTCTGTATTTGATGATGTTTTGACATCCTGGGCCTTTGCCAATCCTGCAGGGATTGCCCCTCCCAGGGCTAGATCATTCCTAGAGATAGTAAGCAAGTTGTCCTTGTGACGGCACCTTTCCATGATTCCTCCCTTCAGTCTGGCCCAGCTGCTGAAAACCTCACAGAGATCTTAGACAGCAAAACAAAAGCAACTCAAGTCACAGGAGCAACTAGTCCTGTTGGTCACTAGGTGGACACCCCCTCTGTTGCCTTGCATAACTAATTAGCAAAACAGCACAAAGCCAAAACTCCAAAGGTCTTTCATGTGCTTGCTGCAGAAGCAGTATGCGGGGGCGCCTGGGTGGCTCAGTCGTTAAGCGTCTGCCTTCGGCTCAGGTCATGATCCCGGGGTCCTGGGATCGAGCCCCGCATCGGGCTCCCTGCTCAGCGGGAAGCCTGCTTCTCCCTCTCCCACTCCGCCTGCTTGTGTTCCCTCTCTCGCTGTGTCTCTCTCTGTCAAATAAATAAAATCTTAAAAAAAAAAAAAAAGCAGTATGCAAAGGAAGGACATAAGGTTCTGCATATCATATTTTTAAAAGGGTTTTTGTCCAGTTTGAGAACATTCAGTGGAAAGCACCTGCCAGGGTACTAGGGGGTTCTGGGAATAAAGGCCACAGCACCAAGCCCCAGCCTGGAAAGCACCCAACTTTACTGGCTTCCCTCAGCCCTGCCTCCAGGTGGTTTCACCTGTGGTTAGGAAGAAACACTGTGCAGGCTTTCAAAACCATAAGGAGACCATGGTAGAAGTCTTAAAAACATTTATGGAGCAGAAGAGTCATTCTAAGTATGCTATAGACCCCATAGACTAGAAAAGACCGATAAAATTGACTAAAAAAATTTTAAACGTGGCAAAACTTACAATAAGCAACATCAAATGATAAATGACAAACAGAAAATATTTGCAACTCATCACCAAGAAAGGGCTAATTTCAGTAACATATAAAGAGTTCCTAGAGGGGGCGCCTGGGTGGCTCAGTTGGTTAAGCTACTGCCTTCGGCTCAGGTCATGATCCCGGAGTCCCGGCATCGAGTCCCACATCAGGCTCCTTGCTGAGCAGGGAGCCTGCTTCTCCCTCTGACCCTCCCCCCTCTCATGTACTCCCTCTCTCATTCTCGCTCTCTCAAATAAATAAATAAATCTTAAAAAAAAAAAAAAAAAAGAGTTCCTAGAAATGGGTAAGAAAAATGGAGGGAAAGAGGCTGACATGTCCTAGTAAAGGACATCCAGTGGCTTGGAACCATGAAAAGATCTGTCTCGTTTATAAGACAAGTATAAAATAAAACCACACGGAGATACCAGTTTTTGACTAGCAAACATCAAAAAGTTTGCTCTCACACCATTGTCAAGGAGAATGGAATCTCCTACACGGCCGGCAGAAGGGTAAACTGGGACAGTCAATGCCTACATCCTTGGGCTCGCCAATTCCATTCCTAGGAATTTATTCTGGAGATAGACTTGCACAAGTACAATAAACCTAGAGAAGCCGAGGGCGAGGTGAGCAGAGAGGCATGTTAATGACCAGACTCGGACTCAGCGGGATTGGGTACGCAAGGTACATGAGAGTGATCCCTTGCTGTGCCCAGCCCTCATCGTTCTTTAAATCTTGTTCCAAATCTTGTGCATTCTCTTTATAGATATAGTAATGGGTAAATATTTATGCTTGACTACCTTAGGAGTTTGATCTTGTGTGTCCTAAAGCCCAGCTGGGTCAGACAACATGATACCTGTCCCCACCCCTCTCCATACCTAAGGGAAGTCTGGCTCATTCAATCCACGGCCCCATCCCGAGGGGCAATCACTCAGCAGGAGGCAGTCAGTGAAGGGGTCAGCTCTCCCCTTAACGTTGGAGGTTAACCGTTCAGGACACAAGCAGAAAGGAGCTTCCTGCCAAAGAAGGTACTTAAATGGCCAACAAGTACCGGGAAAGATATTCAGTATCACTAGCCATCAGGGAAATGCAATCAAAACCAAAATGAGATACCACTTCACACCCACTAGCTTGGCTAGGATCAAGAGGACCGACAATAACAAGTGTTGGCAAGGATGCGGAGACTTTGCAAAGCTCATACACTGCTGGTGGGACCGTGAAATGGCGCAGCCACTTTGGAAAACAGTCTGGAAGTTCCTTAAACAGTTAAACATAGAGTTACCCTATTCTCAGCAGGGCCACTCCCATATAGCCATGAGGGATGAAAACATATGTCCACACAGAAACTTCTACATATATCCATAGGAGCATCATTTATAATAGCCGCAAAGTAGAAACAACCCAGAAGTCCATCAACTGATGAATGGATAAATAAAATGTGGTCTCTCCAGACAACGGAATAGTATTTGGCACTAACAAGGAACGAAGGACAGATATGTGCCCCAACATTGATGAATCTACCCACACGATGCTTCATGGGAGAAGCCAGTCACAAAGGACCTACATAATTGTATGATTCCATTTATATGAAATGTCCAGAAGAGGCACAACTCTAGAGACAGAAAATAGATCCGCAGTGGTTCTCCGCATGAGTAGGCTAAATTGATCCCTATCCCTGAGGCTGAGGTGAGAGCCAATGCTTGCCACAGGAAGACCTGGGTTAGAAGGGGGTCCCACTGGGGTGAAGATTGCTCCACTCCCCGAATCCTCCCACGTTTGCCAATACCACTGCCTGAGGCCTTGCCGTTCAACTCAACCCTGAGTGGGAACAGGACTATGAGGAGGCAAAGGAAAGAAACCAGGCACCTGAGGGGACCCAGCGGCGAGGGAGGAGAACCCAGCAGACTACGCAGGCAGTTGAGAGAAGGGGGTGACAAGCTTGACAAGATCTTGATAGGAGCGTGTGCTGCATACCAAAGACCTTCTTACCCAGACAAAGCACAATTTGAAGATTGAAGATTGAACAGATGAACTAGAAGAGAGAACAGTCCTGTTGAGAACACAATCAGGCCTGACAGGTCAAGGGGTGGGTCGAGGGAATATCTCAAACTACAGAACAAGAACAAATGAAACAGCGTTGGTGAGGGAGGAGGTCATAGATGTGGAGTTCTAGAAGGAGAAGAAGGAATGATGGCGGAGTGATAATAGAGAAACGGAAGAGCAAATGGCTCCCCTGACCTGAAGAAAGACCTGAGCCCACAGAGTGAGGAGCACCAGCAGCCCCTCATCTAGGGGTGCCTGGACAAATTCCTGCGTCCCAGGGACACCGAGAAAATCTCCAAGCATCCAGAGGAAGAGCCAGTTACTTAAGAGAGAAAGAAGACAGACTGGCACCCGACTTCTGCATCCACAACACAGAGCACCAGGAAACAGGGGAATGTCCTCTTGGACCACAGGAGAAAAAAACCTACAGCTCTGGAGTCCTTCAACCAGCCGACATGCCACTCAGTACTCAAGGTCAAAGTGAGACGTTTGCACATATCCATGGATTCAGGTGACACATCTGCAGAAGACATTCAATTAATCGAGAAAGAAGCCTCAAGACAGCAGGAAATGAAAAGGAGTGAAAACAGTGGTATCAGCATATCTGATCACGTGTGTAGTGAAATATCAGTGCAAGTGACCGTGCACCAGGCAGTGGGAATATACATGATCTAAGTGAAGTTTCTCGAAATAGGAGGATCATGCTGCAAAGTAATGACTTGTGAGAGTCTAGAACTAAAAGTCCTGAAGTTTTTTGGCAAAACCAAAAGCTGGGGATTGGGAAGGCAAAGGGAGGGAGTAAGGCCACATTTTAGAGTGCCAGGGAGGGCAGCAAAATCCTTCTCCAGGTCTCATCTTAAGGGGTGGGGGGCTGCAATGGACAGAGTAGTGTCAGGGGGGGTGTCAGTATATTTTGGAAAATATAAGAGATGAATATATGTTACCATGAGGGTCACAAAGTGAGGCTATCATGAATAGAGATGAAAAGAACAGTAGGATTTGCAAATTAATAAAGGGGAAAGGGGAATCCATAGTAACACAACCAAAGTGGCAAGAGCAAGCATGGGAGAAAAAGAGGAAATGACCAAGTAAAATAAAACAGGTGTATCAGTTGTTGGGTCAACTGGGAATGAACTGAATTGCTTTATTTGAAGACATAAGCTGTCAGACTGGTCAAAAGTCAAAACTGAGCTATATGTTAGTGACAGAAAACACACCTAAAACAAAGAGATAAAGGGGTGCCTGCTGGCTCAGTCAGAAGAGTGTGCAACTCTTGATCTCAGGATCATGAGTTCAAGCCCTATCTTGGGTGCAGAGATTACTTAAATAAAACTTTGTGGTGCCTGGGTGGTTTAGTCAGTTGAGTGTCTGCCTTTGGCTCAGGTCATGATCCCAGGATCCTGGGACTGAGCCCCGCATTGGGCTCCCTGCTCAGTGGAGAGCCTGCTTCTCCCTCTCCCTCTGCCTGCTGCTCTGCCTACATGTGCTATCTCTCTGTCAAATAAATAAATAAAATCTTTTAAAAATAAATAAATAAAACCTTAAAACAAAGAGTTCACAGAAGAGAAAGGAGGGTAATTTTAATTTCAGACAAAGTGAAATGAGAAGCATCAAGCTGGATTATGAGATATTAAATACATAAATGGCAACATTTACAGAGAAGGTATGATAGTTGTAAACCCAACAGCACTAAACAACATGGCAGTTAAATACAGAAAGCAAAATCTGCTAGAAAGCCAATGAGAAATGAAAGAATCTGATTGGTCTAGCAGGTGGAACAGAGCAAGAGTATAGAGGATTTAAACAATATGATAAAAGTAACAGGCAATAACTAAATAAACCTATGAATTGATGAATTTGCAAGTGGTGAGCATATGCAAGCAGGAATAAAAGAATAAATGGTTCATACATGAGTGAATAAAGGCATGAACTGGTGAATGAATGTGAGAATAAACAAAATCATGAAGGAGTATCTGATGATACAAATAAACACAGAAACAACCAAAGAAATAGATGGGGAGAGTAAACAATAAATAACTACAGAGAGGAAGGATAGAAGGAAATGGGCGAAGGGAGGGAAATCCCTGTGGGCAGCCAGCTCACAGAAAGCACAGACCCTAGGAAGGCCCTGTAACCTGTCCCCCAGCCCCAGCTCACCCGGCCAAAAAACTGCAGGAAGGTGTTGGAAAGCAGCAGGTGCCTCTCGGCCAGGAAACGATAGCGCCGCTTCTCTTCCAGTTCAGCTGCCCGCTGACTCTCAGACACAAAGGCCTGCATCTGTGCGTGTAGCCGGTTCACACTCTCCTGTGGGAGAAGCGGGTTCTGGCTGGAGGCAGCGAGGGGATGCCTCATCCCACCCTCCACAAGTACCAGCTGTCTGAAGCCTCCTGTCCTTGCTGAATCAGCCGTCTCCTCCCAGAGGTCCTCCCCTGAGCACCGAGCTCAGCAGAGCTCCCGGGCCCACCTCTCATGGGCATCCTCATCCTCCTGAGCCTGGGCTCTGTGTCCGCCCAGCCAGGGCCCTTCTCACAGGCAGGGCTGGTGTCTCAGCCATTGCTCTGCCCCCAGCCCCAGGCACGGGGCCGGGCACGGAGGCGGGGCCCAGGGAGATTGATTTAAGGAAAGGTGATGAGTTGATTTAAGTCCCTACTTGGGAGGGTAGATTCCGAAGAGGAGAGATAAGAGCTAAGGAGAGATAAGATAAGAGTAAAGGAGCCCGAAGAGGGGACAGGAAAGGAGATAGAAGTCTTGGAGACGGAGGCCAGGGATGGGGCCCTGAGCTTGGGAGGAGGGCTGGCCCCGGCCAGGGGCAGGGGAGCACTGCCAGGGCAGGAGGGAGCGGAGGATAGCAGTGCTGCTGGGGAATTTCACCTTGGCTACCGCGATCAGGAGCAGCACGGCTGATGGCCTTGGGTTTTCTCCATGAAATAGAAGGAAGGCCGGGCAGTGACCACGCTAGGAGCGGCACTGAGGTGGGCCTGAGGGCCAGGGGTGCCCACCCACCGCAGGCCTGCTGACCTCCCTCGCTCTGCTCACCACAGAGAGTGGGGCAGGCGGGCCCTCCTAGAGTTGGGCCGGTGCTGGGCGTGGGAGCTCAGGAGGGTGTCAGGGGGTCCCCCCAGAGCCTGGTTTTGCCCCCAGCTCTTGCACCTTCATCTCCCGAACATTCTTGTCCCTCTTGCGTTCCATGCGCCACAGCTCAGACATGCACTTCTCCAGGTTGGCGGCTCGGTGGTGGTACTCCATCTCATAGTGCTGGCGGCTGTCCTGGGGGAGGGTGGAGAGAGGGGGGAGACCCCCACGTCAAAGAGCTCAGTACTCCAGGTCCACAGGTCAGAGCACTGAACAGGGCCCCGGGGGGCTCAGCTGGGAACATGGACAGCCTGGAGCCAGTCAATGCCCAGCGCAGGCCTTGGTGTGCTCTTCCATCAAACGGGGAGAGGCCGTCTTGCAGTGATGGGCTGGGGTGCCAAGGCGGGGGGCCACACTTACTTTGATGAACTGCATGTCCAGCTTCGTGTTCTTCTCCATGTGCTGTAGCAGATCTCCATGGAATGTCTGCACCTGTGTGGAGCACAGGGTGGGGGTGATCAGGGTGGCCCTAATCATTCCCAGGCCCTGGCATCCCTTGCACTGCCCAGTCCAATACAGCCCACCGAGTTCCTAACACACCAGACACCTGCCCAATTGTCGGAGAAAATGGTCATAATATAAGCACCTGGTTGGAGGGAAGATTAAATGGTTCAGTATGCAGACAGGTAGTGCGGTAGCTGCCTGGCCACACCCCCTCCATAAATGTATCAGTGTCTTCTGGGTCTTACTCCCAGCCTGTGCATTGATTATGCCATTCCCTCTGCCTAGCATTTCCTACCAGACTTTGAGTACCAACTTCCCTGCCCCCTCTACTGGGAAGTCTCCCTGACTTCCCCAGCAGAATCCACTGTTCTCCCATTTTGTTTCTGGAATGTATATACATTTGTTCGTTTACTTTCCGTTCCTCCAGCCATAGGACAGAATTTCTTGCTGGGCCCCTGGTCATAGCCCCTTTGTAGGAAGAGCAAGCTGCTGTGGGCAGGAGCCTCATCTGGCCATCTGTGTCCCCAGCACCGTGGGCAGGGCCTGACCCAGTGAAAGCGCTCACAGCTGTTGAGGTCTTAGCTGTTGAGGGGTGGATGGTTCCCACGACAGGTGGGATGGTGGCTGACCACCTGGGGGACCAGGAGGCTGGGGAAGGCTGCTGGGCTCAGGCTCAGAAGAGTTATGTCCTAATAATTCTGGTTCTGCCTCCAATTTGCTCTATAACTTTGGACAAGTTGCTGCCCCTCTCTGGGTCTCAGTTTCCCCATCTGTAACAGGAAGGTCTTGGCCAGATGCTCTTGAAGGTCCAGCCTCGAAAGCCCGAAGAGCTTTGATTCTGTGAGCCATGGTGCTCACCTGGCACCTTCCCCTGGACACCCCCATCAGCATTCCCTGGGTCACTGTGTGTTGTGGGGACATCAGATCTAAACCCTTCAGCTGCACGCTTTGCCCTTGGGTTCACAGGGAGCAGAGAGGAGTGTACCCCATCCTGCAGGGGACCTCTGCTCAGCCTCCTTTGTCTGCACCCCCTTGCCCCTCAGCAGCCCCTGCTCAAGAACCTTCAGTGGACGCTGCTAGGCATGCTGCTGCAGGGGTCCCCATGCTGTGCTTGGGGAGTTCTGCCCCTTGGGCTAGGGCATTGCCCAGAAGAAGAATGCTGGTAATCTTCTTCCAGTATTCAGGGCAAACCAATTATAAAAGTTGCAAATTTTATGTTTTTCTCCCGTAATTGTTTCTCAAACCCTGGTAACTGCTGGTCTTAGGGACCTTGAGTGTGGCCCCCTCAGGCCTGGCCATGCCTTGAATCCTGAGTTGTGGCTGCTGGGTGTGTGTGTGTGTGTGTGTGTGTGTAAGGGGATCAGTGTTATGAACGGTGTCAAGACCACATATCTGCCTTGTCAACTGGATCCCGGAAATAAGGAAGTGAGCCTTCCCAACCTGCACCTGTGGGATCTCCCAGGGCGGTCCCTGGGGCACCTCACTCACCCCTCCCCTGGCCCTGCTTCCCACTGAAAAGACAGTCCAAGGTTTCTGCTTGAACACCAAATATGTGTTCTTGAAAATCCCCATATCCTGCAAAATCGCCCAAAATAAACAACAGGGCTTATAGGAGATACAGAGTTGGAGCCAACTGGCAAAAGCCAGGCAACTTTGTAACCAAGCACTCATAAAGATGATGAGTGGTACCTGGAGACAAACTTGAACCACACCGAAGGCTACGGAAAATATCTAAAATGCACAAAACCCCACAGAATGGGCACACCAGCTCCACCTGAATTCCTGCAGAGCTGGCGTGCTGAGACAATGCAGGGGGATGTGGGGCTGTCACAAAGATGGGCAAGGGAGGTGGTGCAGCCTGCCCCCAGCTGAGAGCCCTGGGTGGCTGGGAGCACTCTCCTCAGGGAGGCCTGGGCACAGGAGCTCTTTTAAAATGTTCTTAAAATACAGATTAAAGGGTTCTTGCTGTCAGTGCAGCAGACAAGCTGGGGGCTTTTCCCTTCCCCTAATTCTGGTTGCCCTACTCCACTCTCACTTAGGAGACATGGCTTATGAGCAGGTCACCTTCCATGTATTAGATGTCACTCCTTCTGCTTCCAGTCAGGTATGAATTGAGTCACCCCGTGGATATGTGTTAGAATGGGACCGCTGGATTGTAATTGTTCCCATTGCCATGGCTTGGCTGTGATCACCAATTAGATGGGGCTCAGGCACCACTGGGTTAATGGAAAGTCTCCATTAAGCTCCGGAAGAAATCAATCTATTAAGGGGTTGATAACTGATGTGAACTTTGAGCTCTTGCTATGGGGGAACCATAGGACTATAGGACTATCTACTAACAGGTGGCTTCTGAAACACAGAAGTCATGAACCCCAGGCAGACTAAGGAATTACCAGCAGGTCAGAACAGAGACTGCCCTCCCCTGCGACCCCTCTCCCAGCATATACTTCATTAGCGGGTCCTGTGAGCCCCTCAATACAGAAGCTGAGAGCAGACCCACCATGGAAAACACACACTGTAACCTCTATGTGTTGAGTTGTTCCAGTAACTCGCAAGAAATCCTTTTGCTGCCTATACAGCAACCCCACCCCCCCGGCCCCGGAAGAATTGTCCCTGTGGGCTGACCCCACTCCTGTATTCCAGTTTGCTCTTGAACCCCCTCCAGTCAGGCTGTGCCCCACCACACCAATAAGAATGTTCTTGTTGAAATCACTGACACTCCACATCACAAAGCCAGCTCTCAGGACTCATCTGACGCATCCTGTGGTCATCATTCAGCACAGTTGACCATTCTCTCCCCCTGAAACACCTTCCTCCCTTGGCTTCCAGCCTACCACTGTCTCCTGGTTTTCCTGGCACTCCCTACCCCACCATCCTCGCTGCCTCTTCTCTGTCATTTGCTGATTCTCCCTTACCTCCTGATCCCCCAGGGCCTCTTCCTTTCCCTTCTGACACCCACTCCCTCCATGAGCTCATCCGTCCATATGCTCAGGACTCCCAGACAAACAACCCAGCCTAGACCTTGACCCCAAACTCTAGCCTCATACATACAACTGATGTCCACACCTCCAGTTGGTTTTCTAATAAGTGTCTCAAACTTACCATGTCTAAAACTAAGTCCCTAATCTCTTACCTCCACCTGAAATGTTCCACACTCAGTATTTCCCACCTCAGCTAATGGCAACTACACCTTTCCAGTTGATTAGGACAAAACCTTGGAGATAGTTTGATTTTCCCTTTTCTTTTGCAACTTACATCCACTCCATCAGAAAATCTTATTGGCTTTACATTCAGTCTGATTTCTTCTCAACACTACCACTGCTGCCACTTTCCCAAGCGATTTCAACCCTCCCCTAGATTATTGCCATAGCCTCTAAACTGGTCTTCCTGCTCCGCTTTTGCCCTCCACTGCTAATATTTTATTCTTAGTACAGGAGCCAGAGTGATCCTACTAAAATATAAGTCAAACAATGAACAACTGGAGGATGAAATTTTAAAATTCCGATTATAATAGCTAAAAAAGCCAGATACCTAGGAACAAATCTAACAAAAGATGTGCAAGACTGCCACCCTGAAAATGACAAGGGCTTGCTATGAGAAATGAATAAACGGAGAGGTATACCATGTTCATGGATCAGAAGACTCAATATTGTTAAGATGACCATGAATTTATATATATATTTTAAAGCAGGTTCCACTCCCAGTGTGGGGCTTGAACTCATGACCCTGAGATCGAGAGTTGTGTGCTCTACTGACGGAGCCAGCCAGGCGCCCCTATGATGGCCATTAATTTATAGATTAATGCAATCCCTGTCCAAATTCCAGCAGGTTTTCTTAATGGAATTGACAAGATGATTCTACATATAGAAAAGCAAAGGATCTTGAATGTGCAAAATAATTTTGAGAAAGAACAAAATTCTTAAGACTATTTGATTTTTTACCAGATTTTATTTATTTGACAGAGAGAGAGAGTACAGGAAGGGGGAGCAGCAGGCAGAGGGAGAAGCAGGCTCCCCACTGAGCAAGAAGCCCGATGTGGGACTTGAACCCAAGACCCTTGGATCATGACCTGAGCTGAAGGCAGATGCTCAACCTACTGAGCCACCCAGGCACCCCTAGACTATTTGATTTTTAAGACTCACTATAAAGCCACAGCAATGAATAGAGTTGCAGTATTGGTATAAAGATAGACAAATATATCAATGGAACAGGGTAGAGAGATCAGCAATAGACCCACACATATACAACAAATCACATTTTGACAAAGACACCAAGTCAGTTCAATGGGGAAAGCAAAGCCTTTTTGAAATGGTGCTAGAACAACTGAATGTCTATACAGGGGGAAAGAAACCCTGATTCTATGTCACTTCATACACAAAAACAAATTTAAGATAGATCATAGAAATAAATGTAAAGTCCAGAACATACAGCTTCTACAAGAAAACTTAGAGTATCTTTGCCATGGCGGTGGGCAAAGATTTCTTAAATAGGCTACAAACACAAACCACTTTTTAAAATTGTCAAATTAGCAGAGGCAGGTGTTTGTTGTTGCCATAGCATTAGTCCCATGAATTGTAAGGTAGTTTACTGAGTTTAAACAGATTCTGTCTTTTGTAAAACGAAAACAATAAAATAGCCAAATTGGGCTTCCTAAAAATGTAAAAGTTCTGCTCATCAAAGACCCTATTTAGAAAATGAATAGACAAGCAACAGGTTGGCGGGGGGAAACATGCACCATGCATATATCTGATAAAGGACTCATATCTTGACTATATAAAGAACTCCTATAAGTCAACAATAAGTATAGGCAATAAATGGGCAAAGTACTAAACAAACACCTCAAGAGAGAAGATATGCAAATGTCCAGTAAGCCCATTAAAAGTCTTTAGTCATTGGCATACGCAAAATGAAACCACAATGAGGTACCGTTCCGTACCTTCTAGAATGGCTAAAATAACAAAGACAACATCGAAGGTTGGCAAGCATGG